ACCAGTAATTTAAACGTTGACATTAATTATGTTTAGGCATTAATTTGGATTAGAGATAATTAAATGGTTAACATGGTTTAATTAATTAATGCCACTTATCTCAAAGATTAGATCGGGATGGTAAATGGTAACATTCAAAAGCCAGGATTATCGGATTTGGTCCTACACAATTTCACTTTTTTTTTTTTTTTCCCCTTCTCTTTCATTTTACTTTCTTTTTGTAAATAGAAGAACTAAGCAAAACCATTCGCGCAAATCACTTTATTAAATCATGGATGTAATTATACATAAAGGTGTATTCCTCCTTGCCTACTCTGATTAAGACTAATAAAATGAACGAACACTTAAAATCTATTTATAGTAAATTAAGGAAGATCCATGCCTTAAATTAACGAAGATTTTATCATTTTTTTATTTGTACATGATTAACTTATAGCAATCATACAGATCCCATGTCACCTTCACCTTAATATCGTTTAAGCATATTATTATGGTGTCAAACCGTGTCAAAGGGCTCTTATGGCATCTAATTGCATTTACAGAATCAATGAATCAAATAGTAACTAGCCTAACTCTCTAGCAGTAAGCTGATTCAGACACCCCGATCATAAAAAAAAAAAAAAGTTTTTTACTTCGATCACCTGTATTGATTAAATTTCGATTTGATCATTCATTTGTTTTTTTTTTCTTCAATTTGATATTATATTATTTTAAACTTATCCATTCTAAAATTAATTTCTGGATCTCCCGTGAGTTATAATGTGAATTTTAGAAATGTTTGAAAGATATTTAGGTTATAAGTTATTTCACGGTTCTAAATAATGGTGAAGAGGGTAGAGTTATTTAGAGGTAGCATAATTAAGGTCATGTCATGTTGATGTTTTGGAAGAAGGATCTTTGGATGCCATGAGAAAGAAACACAAGAACCTTCCCCATCATTAATAATGAAAGAAAGAGTGGGAATAGGCTGTGCTTTAATAAACTTTAATGTAGACAATAATAAATAATGTCGTGGTGTTGGTTATGATGGTGAGTTCCTTTCTTCTTTGTACACTGAAATAAGGTGCAACATACCGTACGACACAAGAACACAATAATATTAAGCTACAAAACTACTTAGTACCATCCCATTCCCATTCCAATTCTAATTCACATACACATACACATACACATTCTCTGTTTCTTATAGTTCTGGGGCTCATAACCTAACTCATATTATCATCCATACAGGTGACCTATTTCATAAAGGTTAACAACTTTTCTGTTTCATAACTAGTTAGGTATCGTCGGAATATCATTTTACTACTAATTTATATTTCGTGGCAACAAGAGCAAATTGGTCCAGACTGTTGAGACTTTTGAAAAGGGAAGGCCGATGAGTCTTTTGGTGGTTGAGATGATCGAAATATGATTTGGGAGTGACGGCTTGCAAAACTTTAATCGATCAATTTGTCGACGATTGGCGGGGTCAACGGGAGTAAAGTTTGAAGGTTTTGGTGAGAATGATCAAAGAAGAAAGTGGTGGTGTGTTGAGTCGCAACGATGTCTGGAGTAGAAACATAATATAAATTTGGATAGTAAAGTGTATTTTAAAGTTTGTGGGTAAAGTGTTTTAAGCCATTATTTGGGTGTGAAAAAGTCGATTACTCTTTCATAAATGGGTAAGATGGTAATTTCTATAAAGTATAACTATAGTAAATTAGTTAATCTAGTAGAAATCTGAGTGGTAACTGACTTCTGTATCATGCTCAAGAAACAAGTCAAAACAAACCTTAATATTATTATTAATATGTTAAATGGCTTTTTAGACATTTCAATGACACTAATCCCCAACATTTCATGCAAAATTACAAATCATGTAAAACAAATTCCGCAATTATTAATTAGTAATGTTTGTTTGGATTTGACATATTTAGGTTTCACAAGGAATATGCTTTTTCAGGACATAAAATAGGTTTAAATAATATTCTACTCAAGCCCACGACGTCGTGTTCTGCATTTGTTTTTCACACAACTACAAATGCACAGCAGCTATGTATATATAGGTTTACACGCTCAAGCATAATAAAACAAAGGACACAAATCTCAGTGACGACTTTGGTTCTTTCTTTCCATATCTAAACAAACGGCGTCGCGTCAACTTCGCACACTTAAAGTAAACAAACGAACCCAACATTTTACATGCACCTACCTATTGCCTAAATGATTTAAATAGTCCTGTTACTATTTAGTTCGCGTCGTTATCAGAATCAAAATTTTGATAACAATTTTAATACCAAAGTCTAAGACACCATAAACTGCTCTTAATTCAATCGTAACGCAACTTAAACATTATTAATTGTATTAAAAGATTCAATAATTGCGAATATAACTGCATTCATCCTGATGATAGTAGTAAATTAGTAATAAAAATTGAAACTGTGCCCGCACACCAGTTTTTTTTCCACTTTAACAAGTCACCTTCTAATGTAAAGCTTTCAAGTTAGGCACCTTCCCATTAAGTTTGGTTTGACAATTAGTGCATGGCTTAATCTCTGATAATCACTAATCTTTTTCAACACTGTAACTATATAATATGTCTAAGATAATCTTTCTAGATTATATTTTGACTTGAGAAATAAAGCTACTTAAATCTTTAATGTAAAATTTTATTATTTCTTTCATAAATATCTGAGATTCATATTGGAAAATACTTACTTTCTAAAGCCTTTGGAAAATAAAGGCTATATCAATATGTTTTGAAAATGAGCGAAATATCTTTAAAAACGGTTTCGGATATATCGCTTTTTTTTTGTTTCATTTTTAAACCGATAAATAGCATGGAAATTGAATTTGTAGAAAAAAAACAATTATCCTTTCAACAAAATAAAAAAAAATTATAATTTACTCAAAAACTAAAAAGCACAAGGCGCCGAAGATCTTACCTGATAAACAAGTGGAGGCAGACGTGACATCTGTGAGAGAGTGACACGTGTGGCGTAAGCAGGTAGCATGGTACTAGTACATACCACTTGCCCGCCAGAGCCCCTGTTCTGTGTCATCTATCGGTATTTGAAAGTTTAAAAAAAAAAGCCCCACCCCCACCCACACCCCCACACCACCACTATCACTCTTTCTTCTCTCTCTTCACACTTTCTCTCACACCAAACACATTTTCCATTTTTGATTTCGGCTCTAACTGCCAACAGAACTCCTCTTTCTCAAGCTTCACTGCTGCTTTCCTTCTCTCTCCGTCTTCAGAGCTCATTAAGTCTATTGCAAACTGACTTTACTCTCTGTGTTCAAGATCTGAATAGAGAGTTTGAATTTGTGATTTTTGGCAATTAGCTGAAAATAATTATGTAGTCTTGGTTTCCTTGGATCTTTCTGTCTCTTTATCGCCTGCTTTTGTTTTTCCGGGATTTCCGATCTGGTTGTCTTCCATTACGTGTTCTTTCTGAAAAATAAAACAAAAATTGTTTTTCTCATTGTTTGAATGAGTGAAAATGGAGCCATTTCAGCGAAGGAGGTCCAAGATTACGAGCTTAACCGGTGATTACTGTTCGACGGAACCTGCATTCCGCGAAGGCAGTTCTTTTTCCTTTTTTTCAAATTCTCAGTTTGTTTGTCGAGAAAATCGAGGAAAAAGAGGCACGTCATTTTGACATACTTGTCTTTTTGGCTTGTGAGAAAACACATCTGTCGAGTTGACAAGTTTATTTGGGTAGGGAGGTTTTAAATTTCAGTTTCTTTGAAGTTTCTTCTTTTTTATGCATTCTCTTGGCAACCAAACAGAGCAATTTCCTCTACGGTCTCTTTTAGCAGCCAGAATAAAGAGAAAAAAATGTAAGTTCAAATGCAAATGTTCGATGACGACTTTTGCGGAGGCTTTGTAAAATTTTGGTCTGAGATACTAAAAATCCTATAAATTATTGTTTCAAGTTCTTTCTTGAATTTGCTTTGTACCAAACAGATTTTATTTATTATTTTCTCCTTTTTTCTTAAAGTTGTGCAATGTGGAGGTCAACAGCTAAGCTCGTGTTCTGGTTTTGCTTTGCTTTTGTTAAGCGGTGTTGTTGACAGCTTCTTAACTCTTTAGTAGTGTATCAGCATGATTTGGTTGCTTGTTTTAATTCAAAATTAGGTTAGATGAGATATAATTGCAGTTCTGGACCGCTGTTTCTGTTGATTTTTATTTTCGCATAAATTTTAGAGTAAAGCTTGATGAAAAGTTTTTGTTTTATCTTTAATTAGCTTTACGAAGAATTCCTGCAATTGATTATTTCTGTTATTGCTGAATAAATTTAATTTATTTTTGGGAAACATAATTGACTCGTCCATCTTTTTTATTTACACAGAAAGAGACAGCCCCATAAACCAAAATTTTTTCCAAATGGCCTCTGATTCTAGTTCATGCAGTAGTGATACAGAAGATGATCGGTGCGCGCGATTTCCTTTTTCTATTTTTATTTTTTTTTTCTCAAATAGTGTTTTGATACTATGTAGTTAAGAGTATAGCATTTCTGCTGCTTCTTTCGTATCAGAGTTTCGTTTTATTTACTTTAAATGTTATTGGATCTAGTATTAAACCTAAGCATTTTTACCTTGTAGCTGACTTGAGGTGGGTTGGAGATCTTCAAACAACCAGAAACCAATTAGACGTTGTTAGCAGAAGAGATGTCAAGAAACTCAATCCAAGAGAAGATCACCTAGTGTAATTGCTAGATTGATGGGTCTCGATGGTCTTCCTCCTCAGCAGTCTACTCATAAACAACAGAAAAGGTCCATGAGAATTATCAAATAGACAGCATCGTAGAAGGCTCAAAGGAGTGGACTCTTCTGGCCGCTTATCTTTTAGGAAAAGCTCAAAGGAAGAGCAAGAATTCAGGATGTGTTTGAAGTTTTAGATGCATCAAGATGGAGTAGCAATAACTCATTGCCAAGACTTCAAAGACAAGTTTACTGAGGCTGAGATGGTTTTTATTAGCAGAAGTTCATGGACGTGAAGCGTCTTTCAACTGATGAGGCTCAGGATTCAAGGAATCGATGCACTTGAGGTGCTAGACAACACCAAGGATCTTCTGCTGAAATTTCTTCAGCAACCTGATTCATTGTCACACAAAGCATATGCTGATCTAGGTGCCCCTCCCCAGTCCCATTGTGTCATATTCAACTTGACATTATCTCATGCTGGAATTGTGAGCAGTGCATAAGGTGGAAGCAAAAGAGAAACTCCATGGAAGAGTAATTGCAAATCTACTCAGAAACATCTCGATGGTGTTCCTAGTCACACTATGGTAGAAATAGTGCTCAGAGTTTCAATAAGTCTGCAAAAGTTCCAATTGGCAGTGAAAGAAGACCCCAGCTGTCTTTCCTACAAGGATTGTTGTTCTAAAACCAAATCTTGGGAGCCACAGGCTGCCATCAGAACTGTTTCATCACCTCCTCATTCTTGTCCGTTAGATTTTAGAAAGCATGCAGAATTTCCAGGCACCAAAAATATGAGAGGCAGTCATGGGCAAGAGAATTTAATGATGATGTATATTTCGAGACATAATTCTAAAGAATCAAGAGAAATCGCCAGGAAATCACTAGGAAGATGAGAAATAGTTTTAGCAATGGTTCCATGAATTTTTCAACTTCCGGATTTAAGGATATGCGGGGGATGAGAGTTCAAGTAACATGTCTGGAAGTGAGTCTGCAAATGGTCAGAGTTTAAAACATTGACTTCCAAGATGAGTTTAAAGGCATAACAGATTCAGGTCTACATCTTCCCGTTCAGCATCATCACTGTTGTAGGGAGGCAAGAAGAGACTCTCGGAGAGGTGGAAGATGTCCCACAAGTCCTCAGGCTTGGGAGTTATTAGTAGGGGCAGCACATTGGGTGAAATGCTTGCATTCCTGATGGGGAAGTGAGGCCTGCAAATTTGATGCTGTGGTTGGTGAGGAAGGATTCATGATACATTTTGCAGTGACAACAGACCAGGAAGGTTTGCTGGACCTCTGGGATTAGCAGTAGGGATGGATGGAAGGATGAATTGTGTTAGAACTTTATCAAGATCAAGATCTCTTCCAGCTTTCTTCTACTTTAGAAGTCCCAAAGCCGCATGCGCGTGAAACTCTTGATGATGACAGGTATATGATGTCAAAAGAGACTGTGAAGCGGGAAAGAAACAAGGCAGGAAGGGAAATTTAAATCAGAAAGATGGTTCATCGGTAGAACATCAAGATCAACAGTAGAAATCTTCACTCTGCACAAGTAGGGAGAGTTATGATATCTCACCGGATATTTCTTTCAGCCATCATCAATTTGACTGCCATTCAAACAGGTTCACCCATCTGAAGAAAGTTTTATGGTTTCAGAGACATATGAGAGTATTGTTACCGAACAAATTCAGTTCCTGAAATGTGTTGGATGTGGGACATGAGAACACAAACATTTCTTCAATCTGAATCTCCAAATTCAGATTATCAGCTCCTCCTTTGTTGTTAAAGGGCATTCATCTGCTGTTGACTTGGATGTTTTAAGTTCAAAGGTTTAAAATTTCAACCAACCTGAATCATCTTTTGTTTAAACAAAGCTTAACCTTAATATTGATATATAGTAGTGGTAGACTATACCTTTTTCAAATCTCATAACTCTTGAGAGATAATACTAGCCTTACAAGAGGATACAAAGAAGCATACAAAGGGACAAATCTAGCCCTTAAAAGAAGGGAAAAGAGAGAGAGAGGGGAGGCAATCATGAATTTTAGGGTTTGGATTTGTTCTTTGATGCCTCTTTGTAAGGCTAGTTATTACCATGTCATAATAACTGATTTGAGCTTGAATCTCTTCTCTATTCCACATACATGTCCTCACCATAAATTTTAAACTGCTTTGATTTTATGTGAGCATATTCTAATAAACTTTAGTTGTGCCCATCTCTCTTTCTGCTCATTGAATAGTTGTGTCAGTTTTTCTATCCTTAGAAATGCGATTTTGTAGATCAATGATTAACCCTGAAGTTTCTATCTTTAGTTTCTCATATTGTAATGTAAATTAATAAGGAAAATTTTCCCGATTTTTGGAAAATATGAACATACAGCGTATGTATTTAGATACTTACTCAAATTTTATATCTTTATGTATCTGTTTTTTTGCTCATTGTTAGAAGTTTAAATTTTTCCTTGAAGAAATCTTCGACTTAAATTTTGTGTGAGGTACCTTTTAATTATATTCTTTCTTGATATTCCAGGAACCATCTGATGCACCATCCAAAGAAGTCCCTTTGCATCACCCTATATCTGGAGTAGATTCTCCAGCAAGCTCTAGGGAGGCTGATCAGCCCAGTCCGGTTTCAATTCTAGAAGCTCCTTTTGCAGATGATTTGTCATGCGGTTCTGAATACTTTGGGGGTGTCAGTGCCGATCTCCATGGTAACATCAAAAGTTCTTTAGTAGGTTATGCTTTGAAGTGGGGTTTTCACTCGTCTTAATATGGAAACCATGACATTTTAATTTCCACATTCTTATACAATTAAAATTTGATTTAGATTGTCATTATTTGGAAAGGATAATTAGCCACTTATTACTAGATTTTATCAGCTGATTATTCAACTTCAATGCTGTCACTCCCTTCCCTGTTAATTGTAATGTTGTCTTCTGTTATCATTTTGCATGTATTTTTTAATTTATTTTCATTAGTCAGGATCAGAACCCTTGATGAGGTTGATCAGGCTTCTTGAGATATGCAACTGATATCAAATGCGATTTGTAAGATTTATTTATATAGAGTGAATTGATAAGAAAATAGTATCATATAGTCTGACTTTATAACTACATTCAAGTTGATAAATGTGATACTAAAACAACAGAAATAATCAACAATTAAAGCGGCAAGAAATCTATGTGCATATTTATTAAAATTCAGAAGATTAAAATAACTTTTTGTTTTGACGAAAGATCTTATTTTGCGGTTATTACTATTGAAAATGCTCATCGAATTGGTTTTAGATTGCTTTTTGATTGAGTGTCAATCAGTGTTGCTCTATTAGTTAAAACTTTACAGTGTGTGTGTGTGTATATATATATATATATAAAGAAAAAGAAAAAACAGTGTAACCTTAAGTAGTAACAATAGCTTCTGGAGATGAGGAAATAGAAAGGTTTTATGATTTATTTTAAATGGTATGACTTGATTCTGAGGTCTTAAAATAAGAGTGTTTTGATTCTTGAGGTTTTAGGAATTAATGTTATTTCTTTCATAGTTTAATTTATTTGATTTTCTATGAAAGTGTACTTTCTGATGTGATTGATTTACTTTCTTAATGGGCATATGTGAGTTGATATGCTCTCCTATTAAGTGTTGATTCCATTACTTGTTTAGTTGTTTTGGTCACTGTAAATAGAGGCCTAAGTTACTATCTTTGGCATAGCTAGATGAATTGATTGTTTACAGTAAGAATTGGCTTCTTCCCAATTTATGTTTTTATTTTCCTCCCAATTCTACTATATTTTCTCGTCCTTGACTTCAACACATTTTTTTGCATTATCTGTTGCTAGGGCTTCGGATGCAACTTCAACTACTCAAGTTGGAGTCAGACGGATATGACGAGGGACCTATGCTTGTTTCAAGCGATGAAGATGCAGAGGAAAGACTTGTTCAGATTATGGATGAGAAGAGCATAATAAAAGCTGAAGAGAATTGGGAGTCTTCTTATGTAGCTGATGTCTTACTCGAGTCCGGATTAAACAATGTCAACTCCAACACATTCATTGCAGCATGTCACTCTCCAGAATGCCCTGTGAGTCCATCAGTATTTGAAGAACTTGAAAAAAAGTACGGCAGTCTAACCTGTTGGACTAAGTCAGAAAGGAAGCTAATGTTCGACTGCATAAATGCAAAACTCATGGAAGTTCATCAGCAATGTACAGATCCACGCTCATGGATGAAGCCTAAATGGAAGAAAACTGAGCTCCAGGAAAGGCTGCACAAGTTGGTGTTGAACCAACATAAGAAAGTTAACAAGGATGCCGGGGAGAATGTGCTGGCAAGAGAATCGCAGTGGCTGAATATTGGTGAGGATATTGATGTAATCGGTAGGGAAATTGAGAAGGTGTTGATAGATGAACTAGTAGGAGAGGTAGTAACCATGTAAACATATGCCTGTTTTTGTTCTAGGAAGTTACATATACACAAATGAAGTGATGGAACTATCATTTCTTGGAATATGAATAAAATGGTTCGATATCTTTACACCATAAAGTATATTCACAAAACCAACATATCACTATAAAGTGCATGCATATTTATTTGAAAGTTTTTGACTGTATTTTAGTTTAATAAACATGCAATTTCATCTTTCCATGTTCGCTGCAAACCTAGTACATCTTATTAGCTTTAATGCCCAGGAGCCATTTTAAGAAACATGGCCAAGAGAAAAGGCGTTTATAAATTACATTGTTGAACCAGAAAAATATGAACAATCGGAAGAAACAAGAGGCCTCGGTGGTGGTCTACTAGGCTGAGCCGGAGGTGGAGGTGGAGGTGGAGGTATTTCGTATCGTGGTGGCCCCTGACTTGGTCCGGATGAAGTGACAGAAACGCTCTTGCGAATTGGTGGTGTATGTGGAGGTAGTGGAGAAAAAGGGACTGCCCCTGGAGGTGGTGGAGAAAAAGGATGGGAAGGGGCAGTCTAAACCTCAACGCTCATCTCAAGTTTTCTGGCATTAGATGGCCGAAAGGCAAAGCCTGAAGCCAGTGCGAGCACAATGCCAATAAAAAGCAGCTTTTCTTTAGCTTCTCCCATTATTTTTCATGATTTTTGCATCCCCAGTTCAGGTGTTTAAATATGATCTGGATTTCAATACAAGGAAATAATTCAAACTTCATATGGGATTATATTTGGTGCTTACTTGAGTAGTAAATTAAATTTCTTTATAGGCTTTAATTATAATATTACTTAGTGGATTAGCACAAACCTATGTAATAAATCATTTTGTGTCATCATCACTGTACCTGCAAAATTTAGTTGATTTACTCAACAGCTTAACATAGTTTTATTAAGGAGTTAACTTTTTTTTCCCACCCAAATAATGGTTTAATGACATTTTCCATCCACATACTTTTAAAATATCATTTTATTATCTAAATTTATATTCCAACGACGAATATAGAGCAAACTCGGTCCAAAATATTAGAGCTTTTGAAGAGGGAATACTGATGACTCTTTTGGTGGTAGAAAGTTGGATTTTGTTGGTTAGGATTGATTAAAATTTGACTTGGGTGGGGCAGCTGTGCAAATCCTAATCGCTCAATTGCCAACGATTGGTAGGGTTGACAGGAGTAGAGTTTGAGAGGTTTTATTGAGTGATGATTGAGGAAGAAAATAGTGATAGTATGAGGTCGTAATGATGCCACATTCAGAAACAGAATATAAATTTGGACAGTAAAGTATATTTAAAAAGTCTAGATGAGAAATTATAATTAAGCCATTATTTGGATTGAAAAAAGTCCTTCACTCTTTTATTAAGTCATTATATGGTAAATGCTCTTTTATGTTTTGCATAGATAGTAATGATTATTTGCTTGTAAGCATGATGTCTTGTATGTACATGATCACTTTTGGGAGTGTAAGAGAAACTATTTTACAGCAGTTCTAGAGAAATAACCAGTGGATTTTGCTACTGTGCTTGTTGTTGGGCTGCTTTATTGAAATGGACAAACTGGCCATATAGGCCTATTGTTTTTATGGTTGCTCAATTCGAAGTTTTCCTGGTAATGTCAGGGTTTTGAGCAGCTTCTAGAGGAATAACCAATGGTTTTGCCACTGTGCTTGTTGGGCTGTTTTATTGAAGTGGACAAGCTGGCCAATAGTAGGCCTATTGTATTGAGGCTTGTTCAATTCAAAGTTTTCCTGGTAATTTAGGCAATATGTTTTAATACTAAGGTTTCTGCAATTTGCAGAATTTACAGAGTAAGATTTACGGACTACTGAAGAATCACTTCATTTTTTTCCGGATAAAGTTTCAATAGGCTACACTCATGCCTTGGGCAAGGAGATCTCACACATTTCTTTCTTGGAGCTGAATGTATTACTTTGTATTGTGTTCTGTTCTACCTCGAACAGTGTTACTTTGACTTCTTTTATTCATTTGGATTTAGGTATGTCTTAGGAAGTAATTGTTCTTGATCATATGATGATTTTGGTGTTATAATATGATTTTCTGTAGATATTCATTTAGGTGATGGTCATCCGTACAATGATGAAGCTATTTGTAGCAAAGCGAATTCACATGTATTGCAGCCTAGCTCTATTTAACATATCCGTTGCCTTTATTCCTATTGCTCTAGGCTCTAGCTAGGAAATCAACTTGGCCATGTTTCAGGGTATTTTTTTTATCTGTACTTTGGTGAAGTCCTCAACCTTAAGGAGAAAATGTAAAAAACCCCATTTTATTTTACCATAAGGCACTGGACATGGTTTTTGTCAGACGATCAGCCTCTGAATCTTTTTTGCTAAACCCTAATTTGATTTTTAAACCCCTCTTGATCAAGTATTGAATGATGGAGGTCGACAATGTTGCTTTGCGGATGCCGCCATAACAAACGGAGATGAGTCAGAGAAGCTGTTTTTGTTCTCTTGGAGAAAGCAGAGCCCGGATTACCTGGCCCTTTACGATTTTCATTTTTCTGGTCCAGTGAGATTCTTTTTTTTTTTTTTTTTTTTTTTTTTTTTTTTTTTTTATCTTTGGGTTATCGTGCTGATTTGAGTCAAGTCATGCCCGTGCTTGACGGAGATTCTTAGACCATTGGGTTTCGTGTTAGGTCCCACCCACCGTTACTAATTAGACTGGCTTTTTTTTCTTCTAATCAAATCATCTTAAGCTTGTTAATTACGAAACATTGTTAATCACACTAATTATTATGTACCAACAGACCATTGCATTTCATTTCTGTCTTCAAATTGCCTATTTCTTCTTCCACTGACGTCAAGTCAAGAGGAGCTGAAACTTTCTTAATGCTCTGATCTGGATAAAAGAGGACGGGACTGCACTGGACTGTACCCTGGTAATTGCCCGCTTTGGATATTCACGAGGAAGCTGACAAAGAACCAGTTTCTTTGAGACTCCCTCTTTTTTTTGCCCCAATAAGGCCGATTACATTTCCTACCTCAGGTTTGGTCAAAACACAATGTTTACCTTTTTTAAGAAACACAAAGTTTCAACCATCGGTTAATGATTTTTGGATTTGATAGTGGTCAAAAGACAATGCATGAATTTTAGAACTTAAGGTTTCAAATATATATTCATGTCTAATTTATCCTTTTTCCAAGACATTTCTAGCATTTGACAATGGTTTAATCAGTTATTTGATAGTAAGAACTTAAATTTTTTTAGAATTTAAGGTTTGATGACATGTTCAATGTCTATATATCCTTTTCCCGCTAGTTTTAATGTTTGTTCCAATTTTGGTAAAATTTTGTTAGTTTCAAATAAGGGATGGAAACTATCTCTAGATGCCGAGTGGTTCGATAGAAATCTTGAGTATATTACTCAAGAGGTCTTGAGTTTGAAACCTTCTCGGTGCTAATAGGGATAGCATTGGAACTCTACCTAGCGATAATTTCGGGTCTCGAGAATTAGTTGAGGTACACATAGTGACCTGACACCTTCGATCATAAAAATAAAAAATAAATAAAAAAATGGTGGTGGAACAATCTTTTTTCCAAAGTTAGGGTAGGAAAATGTATTTAGCCTTCAAATAAATAACAAGATAAAAATGAAATGTTCCATGCTTTACTAAAAATTCTAATCTGCACGATGGGGGTTGGTCTATAACCAGTAATTTAAACGTTGACATTAATTTGTTTAGGCATTAATTTGGATTAGAGATAATTAAATGGTTAACATGGTTTAATTAATTAATGCCATTATCTCAAAAGATTAGATCGGGATGGTAAATGGTAATCATCAAAAGCCATGTTATCGGATTTGGTCCTACACAATTTCACTTTTTTTTCCCCTTTCTCTTTCATTTTACTTTCTTTTTGTAAATAGAAGAACTAAGCAAAACCATACGCAAATCACTTTTTAAATCATGGATGTAATTATAACATAAGGGTGTATTCCTCCTTGCCTACTGATTAAGACTAATAAAATGAAACTAACACGTTAAAATCGATTATGTTATGTAAATTAAGGAAGATCCATGCCTTAAAATAACGAAAGTTTTATATTTGTTTATTTGTACATGATTAACTCATAGTAATAATATAGATCACATGTCACCTTGACCTTAATATCATTTAATATATTATATGGTGTCAAGAACCATGTCAGAGGCTTTATGGGCATCTAATTGGCATTTATAAGCAATCAATGAATCAAATAGTACTAGGCTAACTTCTAAGCAGTAAGCTGGTCCAGACACCCGATCATTAAAAAAAAAAAGTTTTTGCTTCAATCACCTTGTATTTGTATTAATATTTTAGATTTAATTCATGTTTGTTTTTTTCTCTCAATTTTATATTATATATTTTTAAACTTATCCCCTCTAAAATTAATTTCTGGATCTCCCCGTGAGTTTAATGTGAATTTAGAAATGTTTAAAGATATTTAAGGGTTAAATATGTTATTTCACTGTTCTAAATAATGAAAGAGGTAGAGAGTTATTTAGAGGGTGCATAATTAATGTCAATGTCATGTTGATGTTGGAAGAAGGATCTTTGGATGCCATGAGAAAGAAACAGAGAACCTTCTCCATATTAATAATGAAAGAAAGAGTGGGAATAGGCTGTGCTTTAATAAACTTTAATGTAGACAAAATAATAATAATGTCGTGGTGTTCGCTATGATGGTGGGTTCTTTCTTCTTGTACACTGAAATAAAGGGGCAAGCTACCGTACGACAAGAACATCAAATATTTAAGCTACAAAACTAGTTAGGTACCATCCCATTCAATTCTAATTCTAATCTAATTCACATACACATACACTACTCTAGTCTTTATAGTTCTGGGGTCATAACCTAACTCATATTTATCATCCGATACAAGTGACTATTTCAAAAGAGTTAACACTTTTTTGTTTCATAAATAGTTAGGTATCGTGGAATACCATTTTACACTAAATTTAATTTCGATGGCGAACAGAGACAAACTTGGTCTAGACGTTGAGACTTTTGAAGAGGGAGGCCGATGAGTCTTTAGTGGTGGAAGGTTGGATTTTGGTGGTTGAGATTGATCAGAATTTGACTTTGGGAGTG